CAAGAAGAGTGTCTTAATATACATGACTATGTCTCTTGCTTTCTCACGTAACATATAGGACAGATGGTTCCTTGTGTGTTTGCAGATAAAGCTGTTTCATTCTTCTTTTACCCCTCTGTTATTGAAGCTGTTACAATTCCTTGAGGTTGTGCCCTCTTTTGCTCTTTTGTGGCACTTTTTGGCACATATACTCTTTGGTTCTGGTCATTGTGCACATTCTAGTTAAGGTGCTTCTGTCAGGGATCACTGCAGTGTTTCCACACGAGTTCATCAGGATTATGCCACTCCTGGACAGTGTTGGTACACTTATTTTTTTTTTAGTGGTGCTTGCTGGGTGGGTTGGGTGAGGGGGGGTAGGTCACACCTTTTTCTGTGGTGCTTGCACACAAATATCACTGAGGTCTGGGGAATCACAGACAGGAAACTCATCAGAATTGTGCTCAGTGTATGTGGGAGAACAGAAAATCAGATTCAGGGTATCCTGTATGTGTGGCAGGTGCTCAAGCCACAGAGGCATTTCACCTCTCACCTGCTTCATTCCCTTCATCAGAAGTCTATGAGGGCTCCACTATCACGGTGAAAAGGCATGTCCATTTAATCATATATTTGTATTTAAATAACACTTATTTTCTGCTGATCCAAACAATGTTGACACGGATGCTTTGGAACATCGACAGTTACGTATAACATCAATCATTTCCTGGAAGTAGAGTTATCAGGACACATGATTTCATTCTAATTGATATTCAATTGATGTGCACAATTGCCCTCCATAGGATTGAATAAGTACAAATTGCTGCCAACAGAGGATGGCAGTGCCTGATTCATCCTTCAAACTCTATAGTCACTTGGTGATGGATAATGTGCATTGGTGAAGGGATGGGTGTTTGATGATTGTATGATCGAAGCTCAAACATGAAAGCTTTGTTACTGTACCTTATGGTGAATCAATAAAAAAATTTTTTTAAAAATTCTAGAGTCATCTTTTTTTTTGGCACTGTCAAAATAAATGTGTTTACTATGTGGAAAAATTGTGTGCATTTTCTTTTAGGTGAAAAATCCATATACGTATTTTGCTTATCTTTTTGATTATTGAATCTTACTGATTATCAAAGGGAATCCTGTATGCTAATGAAGCAAATATATCTCATGCAGTACCTATTAGTTTTTGTTTTGCCTTTTCCATTTTTATTTTGCTAAAGGCAGTCTCCCATAAATAAAGTTTTCTTTTTCGGGAGCAGGGGCGGATAGGGACTACCTGGTAGGGCCTGGGACTCCTCCTGACTTGGAGTGGCTTGCTCCTAGCGGCACTTAGAGGGACCAGGGGTCAAATCTGGCCTCCTGCATGTCAAACATGTGCTCAGTGTCTGTGGGAGAATAGAGAATCAGACTCGGGGTGTCTGTACTGTCTTCCCAGCCCAGAGTTTGGAAAATCTAATGAATAAATGACACAATTTGTGTCAACTTGACAGTTCTTCCTTCAGTGTTGCAGTGCTCAGATTCCTACCTTGAGGCCTATGTTCTTCCTATTGCCATTTGCTTTATTTCAATTGCCACTGAAAGTACTAGAATGATTCTCTCGCTCAGATCTCCTGACTCACATCTGCAGTGAAAGATGCACCTGCACACTTTGTGCTAACTTAATCAGTACCGACCCTGCCACCTTCTTCTGAAAGCAAGGTGGTCCTGATGTCACCACGTCAGAGTCCAATCTGTCATCATTCCCAAACACATCATCTCTCCAACCCTGATTCTGCTTTCTCTTTTATCTGTAAGCATCTAAGCTGGATTAAATTCCATTGCAGTTACCATGCAAATATTCCCCAACTTGAGGAAATTGTCCTCTCCAGTTCTTATCCGTTTCTCTACAATTCTGTGACCACAAGCCAGGAGTGGGCCCACACCATCTCTAACTTGTATTTCTGTACTTGCTTCCTCATAAGTATGCATTTTGTTATATTCTTTCCTAATTCATTTTCTATATATAAGTGTGTTCAGATCAGATCATAAGCCTTCCCCTGATTAAATATCTTAAATGGTAGTTATTTCTATTCTTTCTCCCTCTTTTTCTTCAAGGCGAAATCCAAACTTTTTCATTTACCTTACAAAGCTTGCAGAAGCATGCTCCGATTTGCCCCTTTAGTATAATCTTTAATTTGGGTTGCACATAATATTCCCACTACCCCACCCATCATCACCAATAAGAATAGGTCCCCGAGAGACTAGGGATGTGAACTCAGTAGGGTTAGAGCATTGGCTTTTCCTGTAAGAGATCCTGGGTTCAAGCCCTGGCACCACAAACCAACAAAAACACTCCCCCTTCCAAACAATCAAACTTATGGACTGTAACATTGCCTCTGCCGCTGGGCATTTGCACTTGCTCTTCTCTCTGCTCAGTTCTCTTTGACTTTAACTCTTTCGAGTTGCCTTTACATTTTGCACATTATTTCTTCTCCAGGTGATCCTACTCCACCCTAACCCTATATTCAGGTTAAATGCTTCCTGTAGGAGCTTTTACTTTTCCATCCAAGTACTTCACTGTATCACTGTTATCCCGTTGTTCATCGATTTTTTTCGAGTGGGCTCCAATAATGTCTCCATTCGTCCCAGTCCTGAGATTTTAGCAGCCTCTAAAAGACTCTTCTTACTCGTCTTTCCCAATACTGCCATATGTGAGGCTCTTTCAAGGTCAGGGGAATGAGACCCATTATTGATATTGTTTTTGGCATATCAAATACGCGATGGGTAGCTTGCCAGGCTCTGCCATGCAGGCGGGATACTATTGGTAGCTTGTCACTCATATATATATTTCTATGATTTGTTGCCTACTGTCTAAACCCCATCAAATATGGTGTGGTAATTATGAAAAAATGGGTAGGGAGTGTCTTATGATGTGTCCAGGAATATGTTCACTCAGATGTGAGTCTTGGCCTGAGCATGTGGAAAGTGACCTGGAGAGCATGGCGGCGGTTGGGTAGTGGAGGTCGGCTGCTGGGGTTGGGTCGTTTGGGAGTGGGGAGGGCTCTTACCCGCACCCCTCTGGGGCGCCCCGCATGAAAACAGCCTGTCGCGGAGTCTGGTGGCATGGTTATCGGAGCCTCATTTTATGCTCCCTTCCGGGAGAAGCAGCCGTGAGTTCTGGAGGGTGGCTGATAAGGAGATTATCTGGCGCTGGCAGGAGGTAGTCATAAGCCACCCATCCAAGTACTTAGCCCAAAATAATGCAATTGTCTATTCATTAGTCTGAGCGTCCTTGTTTATTTCAAATTCCATGGGGTTCACCTATCTTTCTTCAGAAACTTGGATGGATGTGCTAGGAATAAAGTGAAACTTTGATCACAATGAGATCCTTCATGGTCTCATTCTTAGCATGGAGCCATTGTCTAGGAAACATTTATTTGTTCCACATATGGGTGAATGAATAAACCCTAGGATTTTCCAAGCCATAGCATTTGTACTTAAAGTTCTGTGCCAATTTGCTCCCTTTGATGTTGGTCAATACATTAAAGGGCTAAGCTGATGTCACGTTCAATACCCATGACCATCCCAGAGGCATTCACTGTGCTTAACTTGCGCCCATTTCTGCATTCCCTTCACCCAGGGGTGTCTTCACCCACCCCATCGCCTTCGATCCAGTCCAGATTCTGCAGTTTTCAACTCCAGCATCCCTCTTGGTTCCATTTCCCTGAAGCCCCTGTTCACACCTTGCTCCAGACTCTACTTCCTCTCTCCCATGGCACCTGGAGCCCGTTCCTCCGCCCTGACTGGTAAGTGAATAGATCTCACCACGAACCCTTCAGATGCTGGAGCTGGGGACCGCAGGGGCATCCAGGGTGCCCGGCTCAGACTCACAGGCCACCATGGAGCCCTGCTGTTTTCTCACTCAACATCTGGCCCAGTTCCCGGGACGAGGCATGGCACACTGGTGTTCCGGCAGTGGCGTTTATTGTGGAACTCCATTCTGTACTGAAGATCTTTGTGGACAAGATTAGAGAACATGAAACCAAGTGGTGCGTGTCTGGGGGCCAAGTGGGGGCCTTTGCTGCAGCGGGCCCAGAACCTCAGTTGGATGGGACGCTTTCACAGCTCTTGCAAAGCGGACATGAGTGCATTCTCCACGTTCACCTTCGAAGAACCCAAATTCACAGTTCTTGATGGACCCAAGTCCCGAGAAAAAACCATGTCAAAGTATCGGTGGTTGGTTTATACTAGCTGATTTCTCCAAATAATACTGATCAGAGCAAGCACATCTCGCCAAAGGTTCTTTTCATTCTTGGGGGCTGGAGTGATAGTATAGCGGGGAGGGCATTTGCCTGGCATGTGGCCAACCTGGATCTGACCCTCGGCACCCCCAGCTGGGCCCCCCAAGTCCTCGGGCAGTGAGGCCTGAGTGCAGAGTCAGGAGCAGCCCCTGAGCATTGCCGGGTGTGACTCCAAGCAAAACAAACCAAATGTTCTTTTGATCCCGATCCCCAGTAAATCACTTGGCGATGGAGAAACATTTGGTGATGTTTAACAGGGACCTTCCCAATATCCCCCCCATCCCCACCCCGCAGCTCTTTTAGCCACTTCCGCTTCCGGCGTTCTTTGCCCTGGTCATCCTGCTGACCCTTCTCCTGCCAGCTCCTCCTTGCCCCTGGCATCCCCCCTCTCCTTCAAAAAGCAGCGCTTGGGAGTTTACTCGAACCAGGCCCTCCTTTCCCGGGGAGGTGTGTGTGGGGGGGAGAGGGGGAGTCCTTTCCATTGCAAGCCCACCCTCACGCCCAGCTTTGGAGGAAGAGGTCCGTGCATGGGAACTCCTGGATGGACCCGATTCCGATTCCGCCGCCGCGGCGGCCACCCTTTAGGCGAGGGTGCCAGAAGGCGCGCCCGCGGGTGCCGCCGGGCTTGGCACGGACGTTTCCAGAACCCGTTCCTGGCGCTCCTCCTGGTGGCGGCATCCGGGATGCAGCCTGGGGCCGGCGGCGGGCGGCAGCGGGCGGGGACCACCTCCCTCGGGGTCACCCCGAGCCCCGCCAGCGCCCCAGCACCCGGCCGATGGCCGAGGTGATCTCGCGGTTGCGCAGGCTGTAGATGAGCGGGTAGAGCAGCGGCGTGACGTTGGTGTAGACGAGCGCCAGGACGCGGTCCCTCTGCGGGGTGTAGGCCGCCTTGGGGCGCACGTACATGTAGGTGGCGCAGCCGTAGTGCAGGAAGGTGACGGCCAGGTGCGAGGCGCAGGTGGAGGCGGCCTTGCTGCGGCCCTCGGGCGAGTGCAGGCGGCGCAGCGCGCCCGCGATGGCCCCGTACGACGTGAGGATGAGCGCCGAGGGCAGCAGCAGCAGCACCAGGCAGGCGCCCAGCAGCGGCAGCTCGTCCGCGTAGCTGCGCGTGCAGGCCAGGTGCAGCAGCGCCGTGATGTCGCAGAAGAAGTGCACCAGCAGGCAGGAGCCGCAGAAGGGCAGGTGGAAGACGGCCACCGTGAGCCCCAGCGACACGGCCAGCCCGCCCAGGCAGCAGGCCAGCGCCATCCGCCCGCACAGCCCCGGCGTCACCAGCGCCGGGTAGCGCAGCGGGTGGCAGATGGCCACGTAGCGGTCGTAGGCCATCGCGGCCAGCAGGAAGCACTCGGTGCCGCCCAGCGCCACGAACATCTGCATCTGCACGGCGCAGCCCAGGTAGGAGATGGGGCTGCCCGGGCCCCGCAGCGGGGCCGCCAGGTCGGCCAGCGAGCGGGGCACCACCACCAGCGAGTAGCAGAACTCGATGGCCGCCAGCTGGCACAGGAAGAGCAGCATGGGCGGCGGGTTGGGCGCCGAGGTCACGGCCACCAGGATGAGCAGGTTCCCGCCCAGGGTGGCCAGGTGCACGCCCAGCAGCAGCACGAAGAGCGCCGGCCGCAGGTGCGGGAACTCCCAGAAGCCCTGGAGGAGAAAGCCGCAGGGGGTGGTGGTGGTGGTGGTGGCATTGCTGGGGCTGTCCATGCCCTGCCAGCCCAGGGACACCTGCGACAGAAACGAGGGGAGGGCGAGTTGTGCGGTCCCGGGGGGCGATGAGAGGGGTGGGGGAAAGGCACCTTGCCTTGCAGGTGCCCGCCTAGGTGAGGTTCCCGGAAGTGTCGAACATCCTTCCCCACCCCTGCCCACCAAGGGTTTCGTTCATTTGGTGAGAAAAGGGCCACGTTGTTCTTGCTTTCCGGTAAGACCCCTGCCGGCAAGCTCCTCCCTAGGAAACCTTGACCTGTGGGCTACTCCTTGCAATGCACCATCCTGGTCTCTGCCTCCCACCCGAAGAATTCCCAGTCCTTTAGCTACTTTGTAGGTTCCACAGAGCTCTGGAGTATCACACACACCCATCCACCCACATACACACACCACACATGCATGCACACACACACACACACACACACACCCACACACACACACACACCTGCCACCTGAACACCCCAGTCAGAATCTGCCTCTGTTTCCTTTCTTCACACCTCACTTCCGTTTCCTGTGGTTGGTCACAAAGGAAATGCAGACCAGAAACAGCATCTTCCTTCAGTGTCCCGGCAGCTTGGGAGGAATGGCGGGACACTGTTCTCAGAAATCCAGACCAGCGGGGAGATAACACATCAGGCAGAGCACTTGCCTTGCAGGTATCCACCTAGGTTCTATTCCCGGTACCCGTATGGTCCCCCACTACTATCAGAAATCCAGAACAGGGGCTGGAGAGAGAGTACAGCAGGCAGGACACTTGCCTTGCATGTAGCCCACCTAGGTTCAATCCCCAGTACGCCATACGATCCCCAACCTCTCCAGGAATGATCCCTGGTTACAGGGCCAGGAGTAAGCCCTGTGGCCCAAAAACCAATTAAAAAAAGAAAAAGAAAGAAAAAAATTCAGAATGGAATCTGCATACTGGAGGCTGAATCTAGAACTTTCCGTGACCCCATATGTGGTGATTAAAAGAGGGGTCATTGGGATCAATCTGTCAGTCCCTGTTGATTTAAGTCAGTGCGAGGCAGGGAGGCGGCAGGGAGGGTTAGTGGGCGGGCCTGGCAGGGCGCACCAGGAACAAGCCGTCCCGCGCCCTTTTTTTAATGCTCTGTCAACATGAGAAAAGTGATGTGTATTTGTTCTAACTCGCCCTTCAGAGCTCCGTGCATTCCACACTCGCTGTCTGCACATCGTTTCTTTCGAAGCATCATCTGGTGAGTCATTTGCAGCAACGTTTGGAAAACACTGATAGCATGTAGGTCGATTGCAAATGTTCTGAAACTCAGGAGTGGGTGAGCTTTGAGAGCTCAGAGACTCCAGGACTTGGGAACTGGAGGAGGATGTTTGCTTTTCCAGGAGTTACAGATGCAGTTGTTTTTTAAACCGCTTTTAAAAAATAATAGAACCCCACCCCCGGCAGGCCTGGGAGGCCTTGTGATCTGGGGGATGGCGTTCAGGGCTTTGTACACAGAGTATGCGATCTAGCGCTGAAACTATCTCCCTGGTGCCTCTCTATTTAAAGACCTTTTCTTTTTAAAATGACAAACTCACCTATTATTTCTTCCAAGTGAGTCTAAAATGAGTCACTGTTTATAATCAATATTGGAAGTGGAATCTGTGCAAAGTTGTTATACCATAGCATACCCACAGGGGGCGCAAACCACACAGCTTGGGTCAAAAGAAAACGGGCAAATCCAAGGAAGGAACTGGAAGGAGAGCAAAGGGCTTGGGTTGTTCCATCTCATGCCCTTATTGGGAAGAGAATTCTGCAGGTTAGTATTTATCACTGTCATCCGTATTTCCTCATCTGAGGAGAACGCCTATAAGCAAAGGTTTTCAGTCTCTTCACGGGTGAGGTGGGGCTGTGGGTGGGGACGTGGAATTGCTTCCCCTCTGCTTCAGAGATCCCCGCCTCTTACTTGTCTCTGGTTGCTCTTCAATCTGTCACTGTCACTGTCCTCCCGTTGTTCATCGATTTGCTCGAGTGGGCCCAGTAACGTCTCCATTGTGAGACTTGTTGTTACTTTGTTTGGCATATCGAATACGTCACGGGGAGCTTGCCAGGCTTTGCCGTGCGGGCGAGATATTCTCAATAGCTTGCTGGGTTCTCCGAGAGGGGCGGAGGAATTGAACCCAGGTCTATTCACTTTCAAATAATAATAATAAATAAAAAGAATGGCAGAGAGGGACTCTTTAATCTATTGAGCACATTTCACAAACCTGCTTTGGGCGATTTTTTTTGGGGGGGTGAGGGGCTGCGATCCGAATGAGGAGCTGGCGGGGGTAGGCTCTGGCATATGGGTGGGGAGGGCGCGGTCCTAGAGATTGACCCAGGACGAGACTCCAGAAATCACATCTTCTCTGTGGTTCCCGCCTTACTTTTCCCTTTCCACCCCCTGGAGAAGCAGCAGAAGCGTCTCCTTTGCCTCTTGTTCCCCCTGCACAGAGATGGAGAAGATGGGAAGGTCTAGACAAGGGCACCAGGAGCTAATGGCTCCGATTGTGCCATGTTCGGCCAACCAGGTGGTACCAAGGTAGCGGGTGAACACGATGCCAGTGAAAGGACACTGAGGAGAGCATTAAAGGGCTTTGGGGAAGAGTTTAGGTAGGTAAGTTAGAAATACCTATACCTGTTCTAACTTGGGCTGGAGTGATAGCACAGCGGGTAGGGCGTTTGCCTTGCACGCAGCCAACGTGGCTGACCTGAGTTCGATTCCTCTGCCCCTCTTGGAGTGTCCGGCAAGCTACTGAGAATATCTTAGCTACCTGGAAAAGCCTGGCAAGCTACCCAAGATGTATTCCATATGTGAAACACAGTAACAACAAAGTCTCACGATGGAGATGTTACTGGGCCCGCTCGAGCAAATCCATGAACAACGGGAGGACAGTGACAGTGACAGTTCTAACTTATCTACCAATACCTATAGATAGGTAAGTTAGAAATCACTTCTCAAATACAAATATGTAAATGCCATCGATTAACTAACCAACCAAGGGACCTGGGAGATAGCATACAATACATGCTTTGTATTGGGGGAATCCGGTCTGAACCCTGGCACCTCATTACAGCCCCCTTTTTACTGCTATGGGTAGCCCTAGTGACCCCTGAACATTGCTGGCCAGAGCAGCTACGCACCTTTGGGTCCTCACGTTACCCCCCTGGCTCTGTTGCCCTGTTGTTTCTGGGAGTGGTCCTCGGGCCCCTGAGTATGGCCTGAGAGGACTCTGACCTCTCCTCCAAAACCAAAAGCTTCATCCCTGTAGTTTGACTTTAGCGTCTAGGACTCAATCTCCTGCTCAATGTTCCATGGGAATCTGCTCCTTTTGAGGAAGTTTCAAGATGATCGTCAAGCTTCCTGGGTTCAAGCTAAGCTCCCTGCAGCTATTCTGTGAAGTGTGGTCTGGAGCCAGCAGCACAGGCTGGGAGCTGACTGGCAATGCATGTTCTCAGGCCTCACCCCAGATCTACCGTCTGAGAAAATGTCCTGTAAGGAGGAGGACTCCAAATCACTCTGCTAGGTGCGGTCTATGCTTTTTCATTTCCACTCTGAAGTGCATGCAAGAATATGGACCCAAATAATCCATGTCTCCTGTCCAAAAACAAAGTAAGAAAAAAATTACTGTGTTGGCATGGAATCATAGTACAGTGGGGAGGGTGTTTGCCTTGCGTGGCCGACCTGGGTTTGATCCCCGGCATCCCATATGGCCCCTGAGCACTGCCAGGAGTGATTCCCTAGTGCAGAGCCAGGAGTAAGCCCTGAGCATCTCTAGGTGAGACGAAGAAGCTAATTAATGAATTTAATGTTTTCTTTTTGGAAGGGGCAGAAAGAACGGGCACTTTTATCAGCTCAGCTCAGGCCGTTCCAAGTCTGCCTCCCACATTAGCAGGAAAAGTCTCAAAGGAAAAAGAAAACCCCTCCAGGCTTGCCCCAGCCACTCTCTGGACACAGGGTACCAGCTCACTCTCCCCGATGATTAATAACATCAACAGTGGTGGCTGTGCTTGAGAGCGTGCGGGCCAAAGGAGTTTCCACTTTTAACTCGCTTAACCTGAGTAACGGCTCGGTGAGGTAAGAGAGATTCTACTCCTGTGACAGAAGACAAAGCCAGACAAAATGCTACAGAGCTCAGTGGTGGGAAAGCTTCTTCTGTGGCCCAGCAACCTAGGCTCTGAGAGTCTCTGATCTCAGCCAAGGCACACAGCTCACCCCAAGACTAGCATTGTCCTCCCGTTGTTCATCGATTTGCTCAAGCGGGCCCAGTAATGTCTCCATTGTGAGACTTTTTGTTACTGTGTTTGGCATATTGAGTACATCACGGGTAGCTTGCCAGGCTTTGCCGTGCAGGCGAGATATTCTTGGGCTCTCCAAGAGGGGCGGAGGAATCGAACCCAGGTCGGTCGGGTCGGCCGCATGCAAGGCAAACGCCCTACCCACTGTGCTATCGTTCTAGCTCACCTCAAGACTATTTCCTATAAAACACACCCCTTACCTCTTTCCACTTCTGTCGCCTCCCCCTGCCCAGAGACAAAATGCCAGCACTCTCCCAGGCATTCCTGTCCTCGAGTTCCCTCTGCTGTCTTTTCTCTTGAGGACATGTGGATGTGAGCGGTAATACAGATAAACTAGGAGAGCAAATCTAAAAATAATTTCTCCTTCGCTCTGACATTCATCGCTGCTTTTGTTATTGTCCTGGCAGCTCTGCTTTCCTTAATTGTGTAAGGATCCAGGGAGCACTCACAGAGCAGTGGCTGGCTGCTAGCCCAGGACATCTGGATGCGGCTGGAACGGCGCGGAGCTGGGGCTGTGGCTCTGGAATTGGATCTCCACTTTGCAGAATCGGTATAATTATCTTGCATAATGCAGTTTTTTAATCGGTCATTTCAACAGTCTGGGAAGCACTTCCAAAGAGAGCAGGGAGATAGCACGGTCTAGGGGGAACCTCTGGGATTGATCCCTGGTACCACATACCCCTGTTATCCTCATCACCACCAGCTGTACTCC